AACCAAGTGAACTTGGCTAGAGCAGCCCAGAGTGCCTTAACAGACCTTATTCAAGGCAGGGTATTGTGATTCAGGCTTTGTCACAGTGCTAACCATGTTCACACAGCTTTTGGTCAGGCTGGAAGGCTAGGAGAGTGATTCTGCACCTTCCCAAAATATTTAGGGTAGACATTACTCTGGCTGGACACATGCGATGACAAGGGACATGCACAACAGCTTCTGAGGCCTCAACGCTAAGGGGACTGGATGCATCCAAATACTAGAAGTAATGTCTACGCTGCCCAGGTAACCTTGAGTTTTAAACAGAGAGGAAGAATGGCCTCAAAATAAGAGGGAGGGAGTGTGCCCTTCTCCTCCGGAGCCTGAAGCCCTATAGCCTTCTCTTGAGAGCTAGTAGCTAGTGGTTTGAACCACTGTGAGCTGAGACATAACTGAGCCTGGCTCTCCCCTTGGTCTCTGCTTACCATAAATCCACTGCGCAAAACCTGCCTAACAGCACTCGTGGGCCTGAGTCCTTCAGGCGAGACAGGCAGAAAGACATCTGCTTGGGGGACCCTGGCAGGTTGTGGTGGGAGATAAGTGCTGAGCTACTCCGTGCTGTGAAGATTGAGGGGTTTCTGACCAAGTCTGGGAGCCAAATTTTAGGTGCTTGAACCTTTCCCATAAAAAATTCAGGAGCTCCATGTCAGTGCAGTTGGGAGGATCACAGTATTGGACTGAGGCCCCTGATGTGTCCCAGGTATTGTGCTTTCAACTGGCCCAGGCACGCAGTCCTCCTCTCTGAGGGCTCTTTGGTGCAGCAGGTGGGGGAGGCAGCCCAGGGTTGTGCCCCGGCCTTGCCCCAGCGTGGGCTCTTAGTGCCCAAGCACAGCCTAGCTCGTGCCTTGGTACCTCATTAGGTACGTGGACGCTTTCCTAGATATTCAACCAGCAGCTTCTTTATGCTGAGGAAATCACTTTTTTAGTGAATGCCTGTTTTGCAATAGCTATTACATACTAGGTCGCTGAGTGGATGCACTTATTTCACACTAGAAATGCTTTTACGAGGTTCTGTTTAGTCAAAAAAAAAAAAGGCATTTTAAGCACAGAATAAAAAAGTTCCCACATGGACTGCTGGTACAGAGTAACTATGTTTGCTAAAAGGATGCAGCCTTTTCTATAGCAGGACAGTTTCCTTGTGTAGAAAAGCTGCGAGTAAGCTTAGGGCTGCTGTATACCCAGAAGTAAGATCTAGAAGCTGTTGCTTCCAATAATGTCTGAAATAAGAGGGTGAAGCATCTGGATACAGATGTTTGCATCCATAGCAGTCAGATTTTTGTTTCTATGAATGTAGTATCGAGTTACATTGACAAATCTATTACATTTTTAAGCTTATCCAAGCAATTCCTGGAGACTAGAGCTCTGGCTAGGCTTTAAAGCTTTTTGGTTGTTTTTATTTTGCAGACTACGCCTTGCATATAGGGGTTTATATATGATCTTTCTATTAGTTGGCCACTTTTCTCACAGTTTCTTGTGAATGACTGCCAATGAATACCGCATGTGCAAGTATGTTATAATTATACAAGAGCTTGTTTCTTACCTCTCTAGCTGGTGCAAATCACCCCATTAATGTGCTGAAGAGGGCTTTTCCCCTGCATCTTGCATACCTGTCCTCTTTGCTCCAGGATTCAGAGTAGGCACATGGCTTACTAATGAGTATAAGATTCGCTGCGTAAGAATAAGATGCTTAGCACTCACAGCAAACTTAAGTACAGGGTCCAAATGTATGAGTTTACAAAAAGTTCCTTTTAATGAACGTGCTGGTCAGCAATTGGTGTGTATAATGATCACTGGAAATGACTGTGGTTTCACAGGCATTTTTGAAAGTCTCCTTAGTAGGATCAGAAAACGGCAGCTCAACCAAAATGGGTAAATTCATAAGTGTCTGAACTAAGAAAAAAAAGGAAAAAAAGAAAAGAATTGTTTTGATTCGTGCTATGGTGGCACAAAGCTTAGGGTATATATTTCTGTTCGAGCCCAGCGACATTCAGGCTCTTCAATATAAAGCAGAACTCCAGCTGGTTCAGTTAGGAGCTAACAAAGTACAGTGACGACCTGATGCTTACGCAGTCTGAATTCAAGCAATTATTCACTGAAGGCTAGGAGCCTGATTTTTCTCATGTTCTCACCAGTATAAATGTGAAGAAATCCCACCAAACACCTGCAGCGAGGTCACTACTGTAAAATACGCTTAGAAATGGGCCCAGTGGACCGCTCACGTGTTAAAAAAGCTTTGCAAGTTATCGGTAAATCACTCATCTCAGTGACACTATTCCTCTAACCTTGCCTGAGCAAGGCTTTACGAGGTTATCCCCATCTCTCCTGTAATGAAATCTGCTCATATCAGATGTGAGAAATCATCTTGGGAGCAGATCACTCAGCAATTTGCATCCAAGTGAAAATGATGACAGAATTTGTTTCAAAAAATCGCTACATATGAATTGCAGTAGTCTGTTGTGCATTTTTTTATTCCCAGATTTAAACGATTCTGTTCTTATTTTGAACTTTATCTGTTTTATCAGAATAAAGAGAAACGGATTCAATGCTCTAAGGAAAAGACATAGTTCTATAAACAATCAAGGGAGGGTTTCATAACATGATGTCTCTGGTAAATAAATGGCTGTTTGCCACTTACTCCATTTGGCTTTCTGCTGAGAGCACGGGCTTCATGCGAGATACTCTAATTGCTACAATTAGCAAAATTAAATGGCTTATTGTGTATTTAGACAATTCTTCCCACATTCTGTATTGTTATACTACAGAATGAGTAATTACAGTGTGGGGATTGTAAATGCATGGACACGTGTTGTGATTATTTTCGTCGCGCACCTTTTGTGGAGACATGGCCTAAAAGGGCTCATTCGGATGGATGCACAAATGCAATTTACTCTGCTTCCCACCCAGCACGGGAGCAGAGAGGCAGCAGTAGGACCCCAGCAACCTGCTGAGGTCTTTTCCTTGGCATTATGCAGACAGTGCAGGAGGTGCAGAGCTGCAGAGTAAATCACAGCATCGCGTTCACCCCGGATTGCATGACCTCAGGGGCTGAGCAGGAAAAGGGCAGAGGCTTTGGGAGCTGACTCTCTGGCAGAGACAAACCAAACTCAGCACAGAGCCATTTTAAAGGTCTTACAGAACTGCATGATCAAATCATAAAGATTTCTAAATTTGTTATTTAGCTTTTTTAATAAATGAAAGGCTAGTTGTGAATATTTGTTGGCCAATAGAAAGTAAATGAATATATTGTTTTTTAGAGTGATTGGGAATACCCTTCCAAAAAAAAGCAGCATTTGGACTTTTAGTACCATTCACGAATTACCCTTTTGGGGAGATAATAATGCATTGATTAGACATATTTTAAGCAAATTTGGGGTTAATAACTATTCACCACATCATAAAAATTACAGCTCCAGTAAAATTTTAATTTTCCTCCTCTGCTTAACGGTTTACAAAATCAGGTAGCACGAGGCCTAGCATTTAATTTTAGAAGGAAAGTTTTTATCTAATCCCAATGTTATAGAAATGAATTAATAGAAAATCTGTTGCTTCGCCATTGAAAATAGTATTTAAATGCAATCAAGCCCACACAAGCCAAGCACAGAATCATTGTTCTAGCACAAGAAGCAGATTTCAGGTGACAAGCAAAAGTAGAAATGAGTTTTTTCATTATTAAAATGCATGAAAAAAACTATTGCACATATTTTCAAACAATTCATTTTAAAAAAAGACTATCTTATTGTAGGACAAATAACATTTCTTTTAAAATAAGACAGAAGTTTTATCTTACATTTTCTTATATATTTTCTGAATGAATATGGGTATGCAGTACCTTTTCTTCACCTAATTAGAATAGTGAATATTACTTAAATTGTCTTTTCTATAGCATACAAATCCACAACCCTTAAAGCTTTAGGACTAAGTCTTTAACCAGATAAGCTATCTCTAGGTCTGCTGGCAAATTTGCTAGGTTCATTAATACAATGCTTACATGACATTTATTTCTAACAGACAAAGAGATGTGATTGCTTTTCTTTACAAGATTATAATAATGAACTTTTTTTTCCCTTTTATTCAGGAATGGAGTCTTAAAGACCTGATTTTTTCATTATTTCAAAAGCAGAAGTTAATTTTTTTACAATTTTTTTTTTGCTATTGCTGTCTTAATTGAACTCTATTGATAGATCTTAAAACTGTCTGTGGTAAAAAGAATAGTGCATATTGATTATTAACTGTCCATAAGGCCATCATGGAATTTCAACATGGACTATGTTTAATCTTGATAAATTCTATAAAAAATTCTTACAGCTCTGTAATGTGACTGTTCATGAGAAACTGTCCATGCAGTCATCTGAGTGTTATATTTCAATGGGCGTCCTATCCTCAGTGAAAGTATCACTGACGTTGAGTACGTAACATTTTGCAGAGCAAATTTTGACTCAGTATAAAATGACTTCTCTCCCTTCCTCAAACACCTGGATTGGTTTCTAACATCATGCTGTGCATACATGCTACCATTTACGGCTCTGCGCACTCAGTGGTTATATGTATATTAGAACCTGCGGTGCTTCATTTAAATCTATAAACATTATTTAAAAAAAAGTTAAAAAGGATGGGAAGGTTCAGAAAGTAAATGCTAGAAATTAAAACCCAACTGAACAAACAACCCCTCTGTGACCTTCCTTCCAAAACCAAGCAAGAGTATCAATAAAAACCCACCCCAAACCTTCTTCAGAAACCTTGCAAAGCGAGCGCTGTAAGCGGGCTGGACCGTCACCTTCAAAATCCTGCATTAAGCAACGTTTCCTCAGTTCTGCAAGCCCTGACCGAGGGGTTTCCAGCTGCGAGCAGCAGCAGGACCGGCTGCGAGGGACACAGCAGAGGAGCAGCCTCGCTTGCGGGAGTGATGGCGCCCTCCCCGCCGCCTACGGTGCCTCCCGCGGGCTACCGTTCCTCAGGTATTAAAGAAGCAGCAAATCTGTAGAGCTGTTTCCAAAATCAGCCCTCACATCTTGGATAACCAAAGTTTCCCCTTTGCCTGGTTCATAAAGCAAAACCGCGATTTCCTTGCGTGGCCGAGTGTTCGGTGCTGGAATGAGGGCTTTGACTGGGCAAAGGACTTGCTCCCCAAATCTTTTTTTGGCAGTTAGTACAATGGTGCATTTTTTTTTTTGACAAAATATGAGTGCTTTTCTCTGAATAATCTCCATGGAGCCAGGGCAAACGCTTTGTACAAAGCTTCAGGTTTGGACTATCAAAGGATTATTTTATTTAAAAATGATTATACAGGCAGCTGGCCACTGCTTAATTTGTAAATATCTAAGAAACCCTTGAAACATGGTTGTTTCCTGATCTGTGTAAAGTTCCTTCTGGCTTGCAGATTCCTGCACTTTCACAGATATCTTGTTTTGAGGAACTTGCCCCAGGAAAAAATAACAGATATTGAACATCTCACGAATAAAAAAGTCAACATTAAAAATGGTCGATTGAACGCATACAAATCAACATAGGCTGTGTAACCTCTGCTATTTCATAGTACAAATATTAGTAACAGGAAAGACTGAAATTTACCCAGCAGCATATACAGCAGGGATTACCCTGAATATACCTGACAGTGAAGACAAAAATACCAATCATCACGTCTTCTCCATCCTGACAATGCTGATTAAAACAGTAACTCTTGAGTTCTGCTTCACGCTCCTAAAATGGATGGAAATAGTTATATCAAATTGTTTTTTATGGAATCACTGGGTGTCTTTACAAGCCGCTTACATTTGAAGCAGGATCCACAGTTTATGGAATATTCTAAAAGTACCCGTGTAGGCTTTCATATGGCATTACACTGCAAAACAAATCCATAATGTGTGAAAATCATGTTTGTATCAACCTGCAGAAGCCAGTTGATAAAATTCATGGACCAATTCTTAAATTCTAAGCTATAAAGAGAATGAAATGTATTAAAAGATTTGAGGTTTATAAAAAGTAACCTTTTTATACCATATTTTTACTTTACAAAAATATTGAAATAATCCATGAGTTATTCACTCTGCACCAGCATTAAAAAAAATACTATCAAATTTTGACTTGCACCTTTAACGCATCTGAAAGCACCATCAGGGGATACTTTTAACATAAAGAAGGATACCATTGACTAGATTTAGGGAGGTATTTAAAACCCAAAAGCTTGCAGCAAAAGCACTCTATTACGAGAGGTTCAACATAACTCTTAGACGTATCTGGAAACAAGTCCTGAACAGGCTCAAGAGGGTCTTCCACATAACTTGGTTATATGGTACTTTAGCGAATATACTTACTAAGAGGTGGCCGAAAGCCTTTAAAAGACATCACTTTCACCTTGGGCGGGAAATATCAGAGCTGTCCGTACTTGTTGAGAACTCGATTGGTCTTTCCTGCTTCTGGTTCTTGTAGGGCTTGTGCCGCTCCGTTTCTGTCCCTCAGGCAACGATATCGATCTTGCTTTTGTATAATGTTTGGCACTAGAAAGGTATGGCATATCACGGTCTCTTATCACCCCTGCATACATTCACACACTGAATCATGCATTCTGAGTCCTGAAACAGAGAGAAGTTTCAGTGTGTTCATCTCCTCATAGGTTCCTCCCAAATATCTGAAGGGGGTCCTCCAAAAAGTTTAGAATATGAAAACTATTCTTCCCTGTTCTTTTACATATGTGTTTATTTTTTGCAAATTGAACACTGAATCATGATTATCATTTAATTTACATCACTCCGTGCTAGAGCTCCTTTTTTTCTCCTGAAAACCAGAAGTGAGCTGCATAGGATTTCTGTTGAAAGTAACATAACGAACTTAAACTGAAATTCCACTGAAAACAAGCAGTTCTGTTGGTACTAACGCTTATGACTTAATCAATCAGAATTTGGTTTATTTGTAACTGATAGCCTTACAAACATTTTGCAAACCTATTCTAAACTGAATGGTTTATCTGTGGGAGTGCTGAGGACTACTATGCTACTATTTTTTTTTCCCCCAGAAACCACTTTTCATAACAGCAACATTGCATGATACAGTTTTGTTATTTTCGACAAGATTTTTTTTTGCCATTGACTATGCAAATATCAATCATTCATTTCTAAAACAAAATGCACTACTGGCTAAAGTTGAAAGCTCTGATCAGAACCTTCTAATGCTTTGACTGTGAGTACTGTGCAGTCAGAGTTTCATAGCAGCAAGGAGTCATGGGTGAGTTTCCCCAGCTGAAGTAACTGATCTCTGTGCGTGTGCGTGTGCGTGTGTGTGTGTGTGGTTTTTTTTTTTTTAGGCTTTCAGGTGATGCTGCTGTATCAGAGTCCTGCAGAGAGACTGCACACAGTGGATCAAATGATAATCATGATGATAGCCAGACTAAGAACACTACAGCTTGTTTCTCTATTTGCAGTACGCAGTTTAGTTATTCTTACAGCCCTACCGTCATCCCTTAATTCGGACTGTAACGTCAGAGCTTCTTCAAGCTGTGGGTATTTTTTTTTGTTTATAAGGTGGTTTCATATTCCAAGCGCTCCTGGATAAGGGCATCATCTTTATACTGTAGCCGTGGAGGAGCAGGGGAACATTCAAAAGCTAGGATTGCCTTCCTCAGGCTCCTGTCCAACACGTGTCTCTCCCAGGCTGGGTACCTGTTCCTGAACAGATCGATTTTAATGACAGACTCCTCAATCCTTGGTGGCCGGGAGGAAGGTGTGGAAGGTGCGGTGGGTCTCACCTGAAACACAGGCACACACCCATCCCTCTCTGCAAATTTTTGATCCCGCTCGCTCGTGACACTCCGATTGTTAGAGATGGACCTTAGAGTGTTTGTTGCCACTTCTGGGGGTAGAGCGAAGGCAGCGGCAGGGTCCTCACAAGCACAGCTTGGCGACTGCCCGAACCGCGGTCCATTGGGGTGAAAGAAGGCATAGTACATCAGCATAAAAACAATGCCTGTTAAAAAGCTGCTGAACACTACACACAGTGCTGGTATGGCAAACGCATCAGAGATTGGTGGGGCCTTGTACAGATACCACAGAGCACTCAAGGCGGTATTTTCCAAAAGGATCACAAAATAATAAATGAAAAGCCTACAGCGTGTCCTTCCTTCCTTGACGTTGAACCAGCTAAAGATATAGATTATCCCAACTACCATGTCGAAAACTATCTCCTCCCATTTAGTGATGCAAAACTCTGTCTCACAATGGACGATCCAGAAGGTCATGATGCACCAGTGGAGCACGATGAAGATCCCAAAGTACAGCTGGAAAACCGAGGCAAACAGAGCGAAAGTAATAACCCTTGCTGCAATTGTGAAGAAATGCCAACAAAACTGGATTATAACAGCCATATAACTGATGGGCTTCTTGTCATCACGGGAGTCACGGAGGGCCTTTTGGTAGGAAGCCAAAGCCCAAGCCAGGGATACGAGAGATGCTGCAGCAGTAAGACCTAGGAGAGAACAGAAGATGCACTTAAGGTATAGTTTGTATGTCAGCGCTTGGTTGAAACCGGTGAGATCTTCGCTGCTTTAAGCGCACTCTTCACAACTCACGTAAGAAAATCCATCCATTCTCCTTTAGTTCAGCCAACACTGAGGACTGGACCCCCTATTGCTGAGACTTCCTTGCTCTTACAAGCATGTTAGCGTTTGGTAGTTACACAGGAACAAGAGCGGGCAACAAACTACACTTTGAAACACTTGGCTAGCAAATTTATGTTTGAAATGCATTCATTAAATTCACAACACCAAGCAAGTCAGCGATAGGTCTCTTCGTCAATTGTGTGATTTAATAGGCTCTATTGCAGTTATTATTTTGAAGAATATGAATTTTTTGATAAGTCATTAAAACAGCTCGATATAAAGCAATTGCATCTAATTAGAATGTTAGCATCTTTCACACATACAGTACATTAAATCAGCTAAAATGTGATAATATACCTACATCTTAAAATATAATTCTATGGATATGTGTTATGGCTAGTGAAGTTAATAGCTTGACAGACTGGACACAAAACAGAGTTAACTGAAGATTCTGAGGTGGAAGAATTTTCTGTTGGAAGCCACAGATTCTGTGATATCTGAACGTTTCATAGGATCCGCATAGTTATTTTGTCAAAAATTAGCAACACAAATGCAGAAAGATTTTAATTTTTATTACATTAACATAACTCTTGATATATCAAAGTTTAAACTGCAGCACTCATGCTGAAGGAGAAATGCTGCCCATTTCAATAATTCCACCATTTTTAACAGAATTTTTAGTATGTAGAAATTGTCAAAACTTTATTTCGGGGATTAAATTGATTTTAGCAATGATGGAATTTTCTACGGAATTAAAATTCTGAGCTTAGATGCTCCTAAAGGAAGGAAAAACAAATTAATATCGAATAATCACTGTCTCTCCCATATATCCCAGAACTGCTCACTTGTAAAGCACTGAACTATAGTATTTATGGAAAATCTGTCAAACATTTTTCACAAAAAATTCAATACAACTTTACTTTTAGAGTATTTTCAAACATGACTGTGAAAATAGTTCACCTTGACATAAAATATAAATATAAAATATAAAACCAGTAAAGAATACTTTTTACAAAAGCTTCTTTAATACTTATTTTGTGTGCATATTTTTCTTTTTCTCAAAGATTTTGATTGTCATGTGTAGATAAACTTAGAAAAAAGTTGATTTGCAATTAAATGTAATTTTTAAACTAATCTGTTACTTCCTTTTCCTAATCAGAAAAATACATTACATTCCCATTTAAGCAGTGATACAATTGAGCATAGTTATTCACATGCTTAACACTTATACATCGTTTTATTGGAAATTAATTATATTTCTTATTTACTAGATGATTAATTTTTACTTATGATTTATATCAAGCTGCTTTGGATGGAAATGGGAATTCACCTGAAATGCAGAAAACATGCATTTTAAATGTGTTTATTATTTAAATAAAATTTCAATGAGTATGCTGGATAGAGAGGAAAAATGTATCAAACTTTTTATATTTCAAAATTATTTATTAACCAAAGCAAATATTACATACAGTTAATGAATGAATTCATAACTCTTAGCATCCCACACTGTGAATTTATTCATAATCATAAAATGATAACGACATTTCAGCTTATTCAGTTTCTAAACATTTCCTTAACTTTGAATTTACTGGTTATTGAACTAAATTAAACTGAAATGGAGAATATATTTCTTTTGTCTGCTGTTTAAGGCTGTTTAATCATTTCAGCAAACTTGGATTATGGATGCATAGATAGCAGTTTTCTTCCCAGTCCAACAGTTTTTTTTAGAACCCAACTATCACGAGTGTATTAGTTAAATATTATGAATATTTAAGTTTAATGCAAACTGCATTAATACACAGTAGTTTGTTTAAGCTTCAATATGTGTTGTAAAACAGACACTTTTGAAAAAACACATGCCTTAAAATAGGCAAGTGTAGATTATGGAAATAACACCTGATTCTGAACAAAACAATCTATTCCAACAATCCACCTGGCTTAACACATTAAGATTTTGCTCAGTAAGTACAGAGGAATGCATCGCTCTCAGGAGGGATCGCTTGTGTTTGCCGGCACCCCTCCTTCAGTCACTGGCAGGGTGTTAATTATGTTGTGAGCTCCTGTGAATTTGACGTGTTTTTTCTTTTTTTTTTTTTTTTAAAAGAGAAAATTACCAGAAAAGCAATCAGCAGAAATATGGGACAGACTTATAATTTGAGAGAGAATTTGTGAATAAAACATCTTCACTTCTCTTTCCGCTCAGATGCCCGGATGCCGAAACACTAACATTACTGCTGGAATCCTCCCTTACGGAGAGGACAAACACTCAGCAAGGTAGACAGGAAGGAGACACGGTATAAACTGGTGTTTTCATTTCTGACACGCGTATTTGCTTTTCACTCTGGGCTGCCTTTCAGTGACCATTATCTCTAGAGACAGCCGGAAATGTAAGTTCTCGCGTTCTTGTAGGAATGGTTTAATTATTTCTGAGAAAACAAGAGTTCAATTTCCCTTATGAAATGAAAAGTTTGGATAGCTAGATTACTACATGGATACCGTAAAAGAGAATCTTCCAGCACAAATGAGCACTCTAAATGAGAGCTCAAAAATAGCATTATTAGCATGAGAAAGAATAATGTGAGAGAAAAGTCCATATATTTCTCTGCAAATGTAACTTTAATGACCTCACAAACTCCCCTGAGGTTTGTATAGATATCATCAGTTTTACATTAAGAGCTGTGAAATCGTACATCAATGCACACAGAACGTACCAAATAAAATGTTAAAATCCACAGGAATTTCCAAGGTCCTAATATGAATTCATTCATAGTCATTTTCTCTGCCAGGAAGGAGCAAGTACAACAGCAAGTTAATTCTCTTATTGAAGTAGTCATTAATAGGGAAGCATCCACTGCTCTTACGGAACAAAGCGAGGGATTCAGAAATACAGGAGACAAAGGAACGTACAAACAGAAAGAACTACTACTACTACTACTACTGTTAGGAACCTATTCTTGTGCTATTAGCAGTGATGTTAGAGCTACAGAATCAAGATGAAACTAAATGCTTCTTGGGGACCCTCCATTTTTCTTTACTGATGAAGCCTAGCACTAAACAACTATTAAAAGTATAATTAATGACACAAAATTCATGCAAATGGCAGCTTGCTGATAAAGAAATGTCATAATATAAATAATTCACAGTGAAAGGTTAGACATAAACAAAATTATTGGAGAACCAAATGGCTAATTCATTAATTAGAACATATTGACGCATTTTCTGAGTAGAAATCTCCTTATATTTCAAAAAAACCCCTAAAATAGATTTTGATCAAAACAAAACTTTAAATACACTAAAATGGTGTCAGGAAAAAAGGACAAGATGTCCTCTAGTGTTAACGAAAAACAAATAATTTGTAGCATTGCAGGGGCGTAACTTCAGCAGAGGGAAGGCTTATTTGCCATCCAGGGAGTAACAGACAGCCCGCAAGCCCATTCACGGAACCACCCCGTTCTTCAAGAGCAGGTACTATTCTTTTCTGCCCTCTCTGCTTCAGCCTTTTGACTGTCTGTCCGGGGGCTACAGCAGCTTTCTGGCATTTTTCAGAGCAGTCAGAACCACCCTGGTCAGCTGTATATGGAATCTTGTTTCCTCATTTCTTTCTATATAACAGAGATTCTTGCCTTTTATACATTATGGCATGTTTGTACTGGCGCTGCACATCTGATACTCATTAAACTGGAATGAGCTACAGAGCATTAAAGACAAGATAAAAGCTAGTAATACCTTTTACAGGAAAAAGTAAGCAACGTATATAAGGGAAAAGAGGATGTATACAGAGATGGATACATTTACAAATGTTATTTGTAATTATTTCAGAAAAGCAAGCTAAAATAACTACAGGAGTGCTAATGAAGTTCTCTAAAACAGTATTTGTGAGAAATCAGCCTGAAATGTTTCACCTGAATGTGAGTAGTAAAGTTGTTCATGGCAGATACAGGTTTTCTGTATTACACCCTTCCCTTCCTTGACAATTCGCAGCTTAATTGGATCCTGCTAACACCTCTGCCTTTGCATTTTGATTCCTGCCCGCATGCACAATGTATTAAACTTTGAGGGAAGCAATTCAACTTCTAAGCATCATATATGACTCCATAGTCTATATTTTTCCTCTGCTCCCACAATGTAATCTTTAGACTTGGGTATAACCAAAAAAGTCTGGGTCTTGTTCTCACACCAATCTTACATTACTCCTGATTTGTATCTGAGAGAGTAAAGATAGATTCAGGTCCATAAACTACTCTTCTGTAATCACATAAATCCATAAAGCCTTTATGGAAGAAGTGCAGAACACCTCAGGCCAACTGAAAATCCTACAACTGTGTGAAACTGATAAGAGAAAATCCTCCTCGACATTCAATCTACTTTCAAAAATCCAGCTCTCGCCAAGGCTTCTTCCTCTGCTTCATCCTCCTGTTTCAAACTTGTACTCATGTGACCGTTTCCAGGAGTAAATTCATGCTAGAAGCAGGAATACCGAACACAGCAGGACATCTGGGCACAACCATTTTGGCTAGGATCGGGCACTATGAAACATGTCTGAAAGAAGACTCTTTTTATGCATTTTTTACCCAGCTAGAGAAGTGAAAATGTATGCATCCAAGTTTTAAGGTGCTTCTCCAAACCAAAGCCAAGCAAAGAATCTATAATATTCATCAGTTCCCCATCAGGCCCTAATCCTGTAGAAAAGGGTATGTCATGACTGCTCCTCTTCAGCTTCCAAAATGAACTTGCTACATTTACTGAGCCTTTGTCATGCTACCACGAAAGCGGCCATGAGCTTGAGGCCCACGTACAGGTATTGCAGGCAGCCTGAGAATAGTCTGTGGGTCCTACATCACCTCTTTTATTCCCATATATGAGTATG